TATGTCACATTCATTAAAAACTAAGGCATAAAATGTTACCTATTAGAGAACTGTCATTCCAATTACAGTGCAATTATGTTTAACAATTTTAATAATGTCAAAGTTTTTGAAGATGTATCAGTGTCACTGTGTAGTGATTGATTTGTTGGACGTAATAATTAAAATGGTTTTCATAATAATTACAAAGTTCTGAAATGATTCAAATGGATCCTAATAAAATGAAATATGACTTTATCAGACAAAACATGAGCCAACATCTTTTTTATGGTTTCTGCACTTTCTGTTTAGCGTTGTACTGTATATGATTAATTAAAGATATACAGTAGGATATATTGTAAGCACCACACTATCTAATGATAAAATCTAGAAAATAAACAACAAATTCTATAGGATTTAATTGCTCATTTACAAAGTTTCTTTGAACAAGACAGCTCAAAACACATTTTTTCCTAATTTAAAACAGACATTTCACATTTCACTACAAATCTCTTTAAATTGATTACCAGTCAATGTGTCTAACACAGAAACAGTGAGTTGTTTCTTGGCGCACAAAACACAATAAAAAAATTAAAATATAAAATTTAGATTATTGTATTTATTGTACAGTATTTTCAAATTTCATTATTATTATAATAAAATAACTTCTATATAATATTTTCCTGATGCAAACTCACATCTAAGTAGCATTTGCAGTACCCACTGCTAATTGACAATCGGATTCAACACTAGTCACTAAGTGCAAGCTTGGTGGTCTAGTGGTTATGACACCATGCTAATTATCTGGAGGTTGTGGGTTCAATTTCCACCCGAATCACTTGTGAATGTTTATTTTCACAACTATTTGGGAATGTAATGAGTATTCAATACTACCTCAAGTAGGGCAAAACGTAACTCCTATGATCATTACTATTATTAATTATGAAATACAGAAAAATACTTTTATATAGGACTTCAATGCATTTAATATTTTTTCTCACATTTATGGCTTTCTTGTGCATTATTTTAGAGTAAGAAAATTGGTTACTCTTTTTATTCCTATATTGTGTCAAAAAAATAATATGGCTACTGTACTCATTCAACTATTCTCTTTGGTGAGTAACAAATTTATTAAATCTGTTACAACGTTATTCTACAAAAAATCATGAAATACTGTACTGTCTCTGTTTGCAATAAATTTCAGTGTTCTACGAATCTTACAGTTTAAAGTGGTTGGCGGAAAATTTATAGCTCAGACTCTCAGAGTTCGGAGGTTCAAAACCCTTGCCGTGTTTACATATAAAATACAATACAGCACAAACACAGGAAGTAAATTGGGAGGCAGGATTGCCAAAATGTTATAAAATAAATAACAGTCAAAGTTGTATGAATCTTACTCCAAATTATTCTATCTAATGAGCATGTTTTTCAAGTCCTGCTCAACTTCCCTATTTCAAGTTACGCTCATACTTGCTCATACCTTTTGAATTCTCCTTTTGAATGAGCATTTGCAATTCCTTTCAAAATTGCATACAATGTAATTTAAGGGATTACTTAAGGGAAATAATATTTCTACTTAAAACCCTGCCACCTGTTGTTTTATATATCACCAAGTTCCTATATCTAAATTGCTTTATATGCTGACCATTTTGGAGGTATGTAGCCATGCTATAAATAATTATAAGTATTCTTTAATGTGGCTGGATATGAAAAGAGTCGGCAAACCTAGTCTATTTCGTATTCAATTTTCCACCTGATTGCAATTCATTTCATTAAAACCAAATAGTGATTTATATAAAGAGACTTAGTTTATAAAGCATCATTCTCATTCTATAAGTGGCAAGCATACTTGCTGTTTTTTAAAAGGTCATCTAGCTGCTCTTTATTATTTCCCCCTGAAGACGGTTAAAGACTACCTAAATGTTGGGATATCACAATTCAAAACTAAGGAATTATTTCACAAACTTACCATTCTTTTCGGCATCTGAGTTGATGTAATCAGCCCATCCAGTGTTCGTGGAAAATGGGCCAAGTCCTTAGTGCTCCTGTTGATCTTGTAAGATTTCCTTCGTTCTATGTGTCTAAAATGCAACAACAACAACATGTTCACTGAAGACTGTATTTTTTCTGAAGAATCCTGATAAATATTTTGAACAGAAAAAAAATAAAAACTGGAGAGTGGACCCAACATTTTAATAATAAGAATAATGCCATGATTTTTCAGTCTGAATTTAAGCCCAGAGCAGGTATGCTAAAACAACAGTTAATAAGAAAATCTTTAGTATATACTAAGCATATAATATTATATTGACAGGTATAGGGAGCAAAACTTTTGTATTAAAGTATTATTTTCATCACATTAGGTACAGTACATCTCTCATAGTAGATTGGATTTATTTGGTGTAAACACAAAAAACAGCCTTCCATGAAAGACTGAAAAATATTTCTACAGTAGTGGTGGGATACTCTCTTTTACCAGCTTAAATAAGCCAGATACTGTATTTGCTTTAAATAAATAGTAATTGATAGTATGGAAAACAGGATGGTAAAACACAGACTATAATAGCACTTTAGACCAAAAAAAAAAAAAGAAAAACAACATTGTCTCATGGAGGCACAAAATATTTTTCAATCCTACTATAAGGTAATATTAATATTAATAATAATAATAATGAGAATTTAAAAAGCACAAGAAGGCTATAAAGAAGAAACAGTTTCCATGAATGGTTCTTTCAAAGAACAACTTCCTGCGGCAGTAGGAAGGAACAGGCCCCCATAAAAAATCAGCTAAAAACAAGCCCTGCTGCATAAGACAGCTCTAAGTGGCTGTTATACTGTATTGTAGGTTGGCAGAAACTTAACGTCCAGGATCTAATATTTTATGTGGCAAGACAAGTCAAACCAGTCACTCATCGCAAATCCTATTTTGGAGGTAATGGCCAAAACTTGCTAGAATGTCAACATTTTGGAAATCTATTTTATTGCACTAAACTAACCTTTGTATAATATACACATCATGCTATGCTGTTATTTTCCCCATTTCCAATGTTAAAACATGATTTCTGCCTAAGAAATGCCCGAAATCTTAAACTTTGAAGGCTGATTACTCAAATATTGTTCTTTAAGTAAATGAAAGTTTAAAATCCTTTTAACTTCATAATGAAATGTTGTATTTAAAGATTCTTTTACCATTTTATAGCTGTTACTTTACTATTTAACCCGAAAAACTGATTTTTGCGACAAGTGACTAGTTTGGCTTGTCTTTGCCACATATGTTGAGGTGATTTTTAAGGCTTGGCATTTGTATTACAAAGTTAATACCTTTGGGTTGGTATAGGAACGTTCAGTTGAGCTTTGTATAACAGTATTTCCTCATGGAGTCGTCGGAAGTGATTAAACTTGTGTTTTACAGTCCATGTAAATTCTCCATGCCTCACCTCTACATAGTACCTGCCAACATTAAAACCAAACAAATTTTTTAATTATTCAATTTGTTTTCATCTTTATACTTTGCATTTTGAAAAATTATGAAAGTATAAGGTCAAATAAAAAAAAAAAATACTAGTTTCTCATCCCCTCGTGCATCCATTTTCTCTGCCTCACCATTTTTTTTCTTTTTTTTAAAATTTCCTTCATTTTACAAAACGTACAAAAATCTGGCTATCTCACATCAGTAAAATTCCTCTCTCTATCATTCATGGTTGGGGATACATATGGTGTGAATCATGTCTAGTGCTTCTTTTATTTGCTCTCAATGTGTCTACTTGGTTAAAGTGAGAAAGTAATAGCTGTTTCCCATCAGATTTGCCATATTAGAGTAAAAAAAAAGGTTTTGCCCTCATTCTCCCTTTTTTCAAAATATTAGGAAACTACTTTCTTTTTTTAATTGGCCTAAAAAGTACTTGCCCAGCATCCCCAAAAGAAGCATGCAGTTGTAGATGATCGAAGGCATCAATTATACTAAGAGGACAGTTACGAGAAAAAAGTTCTCGTAAAATGGAATGGATTTTAAGAATCTAGCAATGGAGAATTATAACCCTAAATAAATAAAAATTAGAAATAAAAAAAAAAAAAATGATGTAGTATTACTTAATGCTTACATTACACATTAGGACATTGTTGCACAAAACATTAATTAAAAACAAACACAAAATGGGCTTCAAGAATAAATAAACACAAATAATAAATACAGTAGCCCAAAGGCAACGCAATTATGTCATCCATCAAAAACAATTTCCTATCCTCCAAAAGAGTCTATGGCATCAGAAATCAAGTCAGCTGGAAAATTACAATTAAAATGGAATATATAAATTAGCTATTAAAAAGAAAGCAAGGAAACCATCTACTTGGTCTAAGTAAATTCATGCATGTCCCTTTATGGAGAGAATAATAATAGTAATTCAATAATCCATTACATCTAATTAGAAAAAGTATGGGGCTGTCCATGGAAATAGTGATAACAAAAAGACATAATAATACATTATATCTAATTAGTAAAAGCATGGGGCTGTCAAAAGGAAATAGTGATAACAAAAAGACACTTGAAAAGCACTAAAGTGCTCAAATAATACTAAGGGGAGTTTTACCTTCTGCTAACTAAAGTGTCGATTTACAAATTTTCAGTGTCACAACTATTTACAAACACCATGTTATGGTAATTTAAGATCAGTTGATTTGAAGTCAAGAGTTAGACAGGTAAGTTAATCAATATCTTAATAAATGAGAGAAGTATAATGTATGTCTTGTCCAGGAGGCATGCATCTGAACGCAGTGAACTGGTCTGTACTATTCCATGTTATTGATATCATTTGTCAGGAGAAATTGGTTTACTACAATTATCCAGGTAGACTCAGTTGATTTACTCAGAAATCAAACAATTAATCGATCCATCTATCAATTAACATTGATAAACTAATCCCAACACACTCTTGCTTAAGCTACTGTGATAAACACATGTAATTCAATGTCGATAGTAATTCTTATTGTCATGATGGAATAGACAATAACTGGATTTACGTAAGGAGAAACATGTATCTAGTGTAATTTTGCCCTACCTAATGTGGAAATGTACTGAATACTTAGTACGTTGGAAAACAATTCCAGATCACTAGCCTGGCATCATACTTCTAGACCACCGAGCTTGCGCCTGATGGCCAGGGTTGAATTCGAGTCCAAGTAAGCAGCGCGTTCTGCAGTGTTGATAGTAATTGTTATTGTCGTGATTATGCTTATGAATTTGTTTACAGACAAATACATTCATCGGTATCAATTCATCATCCTCATCATCATCATAATCATTGTCATTATCATTGTAATCACCATCCTCCCCCTACTCTGTCACTGATAAATCATCATTCCTAGGCGAGACTTTTTTATACCTTGCAACAAAAATTCTATCCACCAATAATGGTAATTCTGAATGAAAAGTAAATTGTATTTTTGGCCTGTTAGCACAACCTCCACCACAAAAAATGGAAATTTAACAAAGAAAATAAAAATTTTTATTTATTTTATTACACCCTCTGCTCCCCTGAAATCGCCGAAAAACAAGATATTTCTTCCATAATTATATAAATTTACAGCATTTATCAATCTCATTACTACACTGTTTATATTCATCAATAACATTTTATTTTTATTTTCTTCTCCACCTAAATCTTTTTGACAAAATCATTCTGCTAAATAAGAAAACAAAATTGAATTTTTTCCGCCCTCTTCTGACGATCTTTGAAAACATAAGTTCGCTAAAAAGGTATTAGAAAAGTCTTGTGTTACCACCACACCACCATTTGTGGCAAAGACAAGCCAAACCAGTCACTCGTCACAAATCGTGTTTCAGAGAAAATGGCCAAGACATGCTAAAATGTCAAATTTTTAAAAATCTACTTTATTGCAATAAACTAACCTTTATATATCTACACACCATCCTATGCTGTTATTTTCTCCATTTTCAATGTTTCACTTTTTAAGGATTTAAAGATAGTTTCTGCATGAGAAATGCCTGAAATCATAAACTTTAAAGGCATGATTTCTCATATATTGTTCTTTCAACAGCTGTGTGGTTAAACACTTGCAACTTCATAAGGAAATGTCCGATTTGAATGATTTTTTTACCATTGGCTATTATTTTACTCTCAAACACTGTATTAATAGCACAAAATCGATTTTTGCGACGAGTGACTGGTTTGGCTTGTCTTTGCCACATTTATTATCAACAAAATAATCAGCATTATTCTAAAGTGGGCCTATCATAAATTGTCAACCCATGAAGAGAGACTGTTTGTGGTGAAATTTACTACCAAAAATGAAATCAAACATTATCATTGCAATTTGAAAGGATTAAAACAAAAATTCTATCAATTTTCAATACGTTTATGGGAAATCAACATTAAATGAGACACAAATTGAACCAAGTAAATTAAACTGAGTTCCATACTTTTTACTAAATTAATAATACTGATTATACCAACAATTTAAAAGTCAAAAAAATATTATAGAAACAGTAATTTTTTTTTTTTTTGCATGTTTTTAATTGGACAGAAAAATATCTTTTCATAATTCCTTTCGTGGCTACTTAAAGTAAAGAGGGGGGCTTCTTTTCAAAAATGAGTACTGTTAATTTTGCAAACTTGTACTATAAAACAATAAATACGGCCACTGTAACATTAATCTGTATCACGGAGTGTATTTAACTGACATTAAATCATGTAAATACTGTATAAACCAAGATTGTTTTTAATTTATTTTATTTTTTGAAATTCATGTACAGTGTATATACTGTTAAAAAAGCCTATGCTATCTTGAAAAGAATCCCATGGGCTTCTTTTCAAGATGGGCTTCTTTTCGAGACTAATATTGCAAACTAAAGAGGGGGCTTCAATTCTAGATGGGCTTCAACTCGAGATTAAGCCCAATGGGCTTCAATTCAAGGTTTTTATACGGTATACTGTACTATTATATCACCCTATTAATAAATAATTATTCTGGGTTAATATTAAATTAATAATTAATATTCAAGGTCACTGCTGGAGAAGTGAACTTTCATTATACTTACAGATTAGGGTTTAGAGTGAACTGGGATGTAGTCAACCTCATTGTATCCACAACTTTGACACTGATCTTTGTGTCGGGGATGTACACACTACGAGACTTCTCAGAGAATGGATAAATCTTTTCATGAATATTTGTAAATGGAATCCTGCGATGACTCTCTGGAAAATAAGTTGATGAGAGCATTGAATCTCAAGTCATAGAATCATTTGTAAACTACGTAAATTGTGAAACATGGTCTTTGTCAAAACAGAAATTAATAATTAAAAAAAAAAACAACTGTATAGTAATAACAAATATTCTTCAAAAACATATAAGAAAAATTTAACATGTAACACTATGTGACTTTGTAGTGAGACAACACATTTACAGTACTGTATTCATTGTAAATAAACCAATAAACAAGATTTCAGTGCAAACAATAGATTATGTTTATTATGAATAGCTTATTGATAAGCTATTCTTAATAATGTTTAGAATAATTTTTAACAGTAAATCTCATGGCACAGTACTGGACAATTATAAATAAAAAGAGATAGAGAAATGAAATGCAAGAATTAATATAAAAGAAGATAAATTTTAACTGTAAATTAAGTTCTGAATTCAGCTTTTGTCTACTATGGATTTTTTTTTTATTTTGTAAATGTATGCATGTATAAAGATACTGAGATACACTGTATAATATACTGTATATATATCTCTTATACACATCTAGATGTGTATAAGAGACAGGTACTATTCCATACTGTATAAAAAAAAATATCCTTTAAAAACAGGAAATAAAAAAGCAAGACATGGAATTACAATTAACCTATGTTAAGGATTTATATTCTACTTCTGTTCCAACATGTTTTTCTATGCAATGTGGCTTTAAATACTTGACATTTACAAAATCAAAGTTTTTTTTTAATAGAATATAAAGCATTTGTATATATGTGACTATGAGATGCGAAGTCTCAAATTTTATTGATGGGATAATTCATTTTATATCTACGCTAATGATACTTCATGGATTTCTTAATCTTACAGTGTGATCTGACAGGCAACAATAACCCACCAAGTCACATCCAGAAACAGAAATTTAAATGTAATGAAAACAAACAATTAAAAAGTATCCTAGAGCAGCGAGATGTAGAACACTTGCTGGAAATTGTGCATACAGTACCTGGGTATTAAGTTAGACATAGTTATAGTATTATAGAAATAATATACATGTATAAGAAGGCACTTAAAGGTGGCATAACTATTTTTTTTCATTGAGCTCTATCCTTAGTGGGGCTGAGGGGTCTGACACATTTGTTGGTAAACAAATATGGACTACCTGCCAAAGAAAAATACTGACTCCAACACTGAGATAATTTTTACCTTTGAAATTTCTTTTATCAGATACAGTACCTGTAATTTATGATACATTTTTATATTATTAAATATTAGGCCTTTGTATGAAGAATTGTGTGTGATGGATTACTGATTTTAATGTATTGGACTTGCTTGCAGCAACTATGCATTTTTTATTAGCAGAAAAGGTAGTCAAACATCAGTTTAGTTACCAAGCAACTGCCAACAAGCTGTTTTAAAACTGAGTTCCTCCACAGCTAAGCCAATTAAGTTAAAATAATATTTTCAACTGATGTATTGAGAAACCTAATATTAAAATAAAGAAAAAAAAAACACCTCGCTGTATTATTAAGGCACACGCATGTATTTTGCAAATACATAAGCGGAGAATTAAGCAATGGATATTACGGCCTACCTTTTGAGGCACCTGGCTGTATCAGCGACTAATACCTTATTCAGACTACACTTTGTTGCGATGTAATCAGTGGTAATCCAAAACTCATTACTCCCGATCGCAATCAACGAACGCATTCAAACCAACACAAACAAACTTTACATTCTAGGGCCTAAGCCTCCAGTGGCTAGGCCTATGTTGACTGACCTTAGCTAAACAGTGCCTGTGGAATTGTTGTGATTCACTGTGATCGGATTCCGTGGTAATCGGGAGTAATAAAGATTGTAGCACCCAATCGCAACGGGTAACAATTGCAATATCGACTACTATTGGTGAGCTTTCACACACGATTTTACTTTGCGATTGGGTGCGATTGGGTGTCGCAATTGCTACAACCGATCGCAATGCGATGCTAGTCTGAATGGGGTATTAGGCACTCTAGTGTTCCTGAGTAACGAAAGTGTTCATATAAGAGTTTCTGAAATGAGGTGCAGCTCAGTGTAGTGTTCTGTACACTATAATATTCAAACAAATACTTTTGTAGTTCTACTTACGTAGTTATTTGCACAATGCTATATGAGTGAAAAATTAAATGAGTGATTTAAAATGGAATGTATTTGGTTTTGATATACCCTAAAGGTTAGCAAGAGTTATATAAATTGACATGTTGAAAATTGAACCTCAATGTTGATGACAATGCCTGGAGGCAAACTTTGCAATCAGTCATATTTAGTGTAGTTGAAAATGTAAAAATAATTCTGATTTATGTGAATGTTAAGGGATGATTTAGAAATGTTATGGACTACTTCAGGTTAAAATTAGGTTTCATTTTATAATTTAAAGATAATAGATTTTAAAGATGGAAATTAGTGTATTTAAAAAAATGTTTACCTATAATTTTACAGTAAAAATTAATTTATTACAATCATCCAGTATGAAAATCAGCGTACACATTTTGCTTAATTCAATAATTTCTATGCTAAGTCAATGTTTGTGCAAAATGAGCAAGTTAATTTTAAAATCACTCTTTTATAATTTTTTTTTTGTCATTTTCAAGGGACAATACATTTTTAAATGGTTTCCACAAGAAATGTGGTAATTGCTACAACCGATCACAATGCGATGCTAGTCTGAATGGGGTATTAGGCACTCTAGTGTTGCTGAGTAACAAAAGTGTTCATAAAGAGTTTCTGAAATGAGGTGCAGCTCAGTGTAGTGTTCTGTACACTATAATATTCAAACAAATACTTTTGTAGTTCTACTTACGTAGTTATTTGCACAATGCTATATGAGTGAAAAATTAAATGAGTGATTTAAAATGGAATGTATTTGGTTTTGATATACCCTAAAAGGTTAGCAAGAGTTATATAAATTGACATGTTGAAAATTGAACCTCAATGTTGATGACAATGCCTGGAGGCAAACTTTGCAATCAGTCATATTTAGTGTAGTTGAAAATGTAAAAATAATTCTGATTTATGTGAATGTTAAGGGATGATTTAGAAATGTTATGGACTACTTTAGGTTAAAATTAGGTTCCATTTTATAATTTAAAGATAATAGATTTTAAAGATGGAAATTAGTGTATTAAAAAAAATGTTTACCTATAATTTGACAGTAAAAATTAATTTACAATTATCCAGTATGAAAACCAGGGTACACATTTTGCTTAATAATTCAATAATTTCTATGCTAAGTCAATGTTTGTGCAAAATGAGCAAGTTACTTTTAAAATCACTCTTTTATAATTTTTTTTTTTTTGTCATTTTCAAGTGTATGAATGTTAAGGGAAGATTATTATTATTTAGACAGTTTTCATGCTATTTTTAATATTAAAATATTAGACATAATTGGTTAAATATGCATTCTTTCTATTTTTCCTACCGTAAGTAATTCAAAATGTGATTTGGCAAACTCTAACCTCCTCCCTTTACCAAAAATGTGATTTGGCAAACTCTAACCTCCTCCCTTTACCAAAAGTAAGAAGAAGAAGGACCAGACCAGCACTTATGTAAATTGCACTGAAAATATCAAATTGTTTCATTTGCAAGTGCATTTAAAATTGTTTGTGTTAATTTTTATCATGCACTAAGAAACACCAAATATGGGAAACAACATTAATAAGTGCTCATTAAATCCAGTAAACAATTACAATATTAAAATAATAAATTATATTACCGATTGCATTTAAATTACTGTTTAGAATTAAGTCTCTTCTCTACAGTATAAGTTACAATTATGTAACACTCAAATGAGGATTGAGGGAACAATTACCGTTAGTGCAGTATTCAAGTTTATGATTAAACATTAAACTACTATTTTTTCTACAGAATGCAATTCCAATATGAGAAATGTGGAGAAAATGGCATAATTAAAGTACAAATGACCTTTTAATACACCATATTGACAATATCCAATTTGATCAATTGCTGCTTCTACATTTAGAAAGGCTTCTGAAGTACTATTATAAATGTTAATGTAAAACCAGTTTTGGTTTTCACATTAGCAATTTTCAGAGCTATACATAGAGTTTGTAAAGATTTTTTTTTTTTTTCAAATTTTCTTTTAAATACCATTAAATGGCGGGTTTGTACAGTTGGTGTGAAGTTGAAAAACAGTAAAATTAAAATAAAATAAAAATAGAACATTTTTCCTAAATGTCCAATAATTAGCAAAGACCTCTTTTGTTTGCTTTTCGATCTGTAAATATTAAATACAATTTTGTTTAGCATTGTATTGAGGTATTCATGTTTAAATTGTTGTCAAGGTTTTTCAATTAATTTTATGACAGATACAGTAGTATCTGTAACAGAAAATTTGTCTAGTTGTCTTATACTCAAAAGAAATGAGTATTTGCAAGCAAATTGTTGACAGATGGCTGGGGTACAAGGGCTGCTAAGGGTCACTGACCGGTTTCCAGAAAAGTCAGTGGTTTTGACATTCTGGAAATTGAGTGAACATCCATTAAATCCTGTGTGTGGCATGCATTTATGAGTGTAGAGAAATTCACACAGGTTAGCCATTGTATGCAGTCTGTAGTGTACTTTTTACTAAATCTCAAATCCTATTTTGTCTCCCTCCCTCCTCTGAAAAGGGTACCATACTCAGAGGTGGTGGATCAGTCGGTTGAAACAGGCCAGTCTGCCACTGCCAGTGAACAATGTTGGTGTAAGATCCCAGCCCCCAACCAATGTGCCACCACTATTGATGAAAACACTGTAAGCTAAATGTATGTTTCCTTATGACTTAATTAATTCCATTTGGTAAACAGGTGGTTGTATATACTCTAGTGATTATTATTTACTCTACAGGCCTACTGATGTTTGGTACATGAAAATGAAATGACTTAATTATATTTTATGTGTCACAATCAACATTTAATTACTGCAAGGCTAACATTATAATTACAAATTAATAATTAATTTGTTAAATCACCTAACAAATCTAGAATTAATAGGGCAGCTTTTATAATTTACTAGCATAAATAATAATAATAATAATAACAATAACAATAATAATAATAATAATAATAATAATAATAATAATAATAATTTGAGGGTTGCAGTGGTAGGGTTATTGGTGAGATGAAGTGGAGAGTTCCAACCATAGTTGTATAGAATCCAACCTTATGAAATATGGATGTAAAAAAACCTGCAAAATAGAAAACAGGAAAGAAAAAAAAAGGAAGCCATGAACTAAAACAAAAAAAAGTTTCTGCTTTCATAGGAAAAGCCAGTAAAAAGAAAAAAAAAATATAAACAGAAACGATAGCTTGTCCACTGTCACAGGAAATGACTTGAACAAATAATAACACTATGTTCATTAATAGCAATATGTATCAGTAATAACAGAAATTAATAAATCTGCTACCTCACAAAACTCATATCAGTAGATATTTGTGACCTACCTCCGACCCCACCGTCACCCTCTTCAGTTATACCACCATCCGCCCAGTTCCCATTAGCAGCCAGCTTATCATTTCCAAGTGAACTGGCAAGGGATCCTAAAGATGCAGGTCTGGATCTTGTCTCAAACTCCTCTGTTGGAATCACCTGATCATCTGGAAAGGTTCCATACGAGATCTGCTGGATGCTGTCTTCATTGGTTACTTCATCCTTCAAGATCACAAGTTTTGGAGGCTTATGTTTTACTGTTGGCAGCGGCTGTTTCACAGGAGAATCTTCTGGCATGAGGTTACAGACGCCATGGTGCTGGTCCTCTTCGGCAGCACCGTAAGAGGACCTCCGGCTCCCACTTCCGTTAGCCTCTCCATCCATTGGTAGGAGCTGTTCATCTAATTTGTCCCTGTGCAAAGAATTTCCCATGGTTAAATACAGTATAGTACTGTAAGTCTACAACAGTTGCCAAGGAATATTAAATGTGAGTTGTTTTATTGCAAGATCTCAATTTATACAGCATCGTATTGCCACAGGCCTAATGTATGTAGTTGGCCTCTTCCATTTATTTGAGTATGAAACAGACACAAACCAATCATATTGAGTGTCAATACAAAAAAGGAAATTTAAGCTTAATTACAATTAGATAAAATTTATAATGGAAGTATTGTTTACTCTATAAAATCAATTACCAGTATGTAATATATGTTAATATGAATATCACTTACTTTTAATAATGAGTAGAATAAAAGAATAATATGGATTTTAAATTATATCAATATGAACTATAAACAAATAAAAACAATGGGTTTTTAGATGTTACATTTTTTTTATAATAATAATAATAATAACAATAATAATAATAATAATAATAATAATAATAATAATAATAATAATAATAATACATTTATAATGCACCATCTATCTAGGTAAACCTATTCCGAGGTGCACACAAACATACTAAACATGGAATATAAAAAAACAACATTATAAAAATTTACAATGATAAAAACAATTATATATAAGAACACCGAGGTTGAAATTATTTAAAAAAAATATATATATAAGAACAAATTGAGGCCAAGTTAAAATTAAAAAAAAAAAAAAAATAACAAACAAAAATAATTTTTAAAAAATAATAAAAAATAATAGAAAAACCAACAAATCAAGCTACAGTACAATACTGTCACATACAGTAAAGTATTAATATTTAAAAAGGTTATATCAACATTCTATTCCATTAATGTTTACTGTATCAGATGTGCTGTAATCAAAAGTTCTATTAGAGAAGAACACAAGATACTCAGCTAAGCTTGTGTTCAAATGCATGTAGATTATATGATTCGTGTATGTTTGTTGCGTGCATTGTGTCTATTTGTGTATAGCTTATCTTAAGGTTACCAATATAAAAGCTTAATTATGCTTGTGTATACCTTTTCTTTTATCAGGGCTATTGCTTCGGTATTAATCAAAATCTTGTACTGATTGTGACTTGATAAATGAATAAATCAAATTGAATTGAATAATTTTAATATTTAATATAATAAATAAGAACTTAAATTTTGAGCCTGAAATTGGCAATAAATAAAGAATTACTGGTCTGACCAAAATTTTATTGGTTCTCATAAAAAAAAATTGTATTAGTACTACAATATTCAAGTTCATTATGGTGTTTGAAATGCAGGATGCTGTCATGAAGATTGTTTTCTTTGTATTCTGGATTGATACTGTATCTAGGTTCTTGAAACAGCCTTCAAACCTGGATCATCCTCATATCCTCAGTCTCTTGACCTTTCAACTTTTGAATACCAATTCTATCTTTATACAGTACAGTATACAACAATTATGAACTACGTTTTAAGTGGGTAGCCCTTTCAGCATGGCTGATATGGAGGGGTATACAGTACTTATAATAGAAAAATCAACAAGAAGACAGTATAAAATAATATTTTAGATTGATTCACTTTTTAAAAGAATACTGAGGCAGAAATTACTTAAAGCCCCATTCCCGGCAAAATTTCACTAAAAATTGACTTTTTTTTAGAAAATATGCATTTGCATTACTCCAATTTTTATAAATCATGGAAAAATATTGGCATGAATTTCAGTTTTACGCAAAAGAATAAAAAAAATGAGAAATACAGACTATTTCTCATAAAATATTACCATTTTCTCGACGAATTCATCGTTACTAGGCAAATTCAGAGGTTGTAGATCGCATCCACTGGAATACTCTCGCTTCTATTTATACTTCATACAGTCAATAAAGTGCGCCCTCTCTAATGAGATTAGTTTTTCTACTTCGCATCTCGCACAATGCGGTCGTTCGGTTAGGCTGAGATATGTTTGTTTAAGTGTCAAAATCTCAGTCAGAATCAGTTTTTTAACAAATTTGAAATAATTCCTGTGAAATATTATATTCACAAGTGTCAATACTAGCAACGGAAACTATCATGTCGGCTGTTTTTATGTGTGATAACAGAACCTAAATCGAGGTAAGGCTAGGCCTAGCCTAGCAGCATTGGATAGGCTAATGTTTTCGGCGCCTACGATATTTCTTCTCACGACCTATCACAAAATCAACATGAAAAATTCATCCGCATTTATTTTTTGTGTGGAACACAAAAAATCAAATTTAAGTCTTATTTTACATTTTTTTCATTCTTAGGAATGTCTAAATTCATTTAAACTAGCAATTATATTTATAAATCTTTATAACATTATACAAAAATTAGATTTTTCTTAAAAACTGAAATTTTGCCAGGAATGGGGCTTTAAGTTTAACAATAACAATAAAATTGCAAGTTGCTCAAACAATAACAAGAATAACAATAACAATAATTAAAAATGTATTTATAGCACATAATTTCAGATTTACATTTGTTCAAAGCGTTTACATAAAAAGATGATAAATACAATTATTAAAATAGGCAACATTATACAATAAAATTACAAAATTATTATGGAAAGAGACCAAAAAGGCGAAATGAATATTAAAACATTCAAATACTCAGGACCCCACGTCTGCCCCCCCCCCCACACTACACACACACAAAATATATTATATCACAAGCAACAATAAGTAAAAAAATAATACTGTAATACAAAATAATATAATATTAATTAATTTAAAAAATAATATTAATATTTTATGAAAGATAATATACAGTATAGTGCTATTCATGCTCTACAACAGTACACAAGTGTTTAACCCATGCATATAAATGTAGTTTTCCTATCATAATGTAGATAATTCCATATACAGTAATGACTACCCTACGAACCACTTTTTTGCAACTCCCAGAAGTATACTTGTTTTGTATAATTATTTTTTTCTAATTAAACACCAAAGCAGTTTAAAGACCAGGAAACACTCGGTTTTGAGAGTGACAAAAGACCTGTATCTCACTTCTTTTTTTTTTTTTTTTTTGGATTAAACTTTTGCTTTTATAAAGGTACTGTATTCTTCAAGATTGATGAACCTTAAATATTGACATTGCACATGAGTTTCAACAGGAAATCCAACATGTACGGATTCAATTACCTCTACAGTATAGGCCTGTTGTTTGCATTGTATTTGTAGAGAAGTTGGCCAAAAGAAATATGTTTTACATGCCTTCTCTCACATCCATTTTCTTTGGGCCTCATTGACTTTTTTCATTTTTTTTTTTTTTACACTCAGAAAAAAAATAATTGGAAAAGAAGCAACCTAGCTTCATAACTTCATAAACTATCAGACCTGTCAAGTCTCGACGCCACCTCTCAGTAAGTATAGTAAGTTACGTCTGATTGAGCAATCAGTGACAAGCTTACATAATGAAATTTTGTATGTTATATCAACGTCTGTACTTTCCTTAAGGTTTGTGACCTCAAGCCTAATTTTCAAAAAATGCCCAATCTCAAGCAAATCCAGAAGAAATCTCAAGCAAGCCAGTGAGACCCTTGACAGGTTTGAACTATGAATGGGATTATTCTGATGTACCGGTGTCGCAGCCTGACAAAACTCTGGCACCTGACTCAGGGAAGAGTAAACCAGTATTGGGATAACAAACAATATATTAAAAGCAAATGAGCTCAATCAAAACAAGTGTATTTTATATTTTCATACATCAGTTCCTGTAAGAACAATTTAAATATTTAAATATGCCTTTACACACTATATGCACAACCATGTGTTGGAGTGTGTTTTATAGCAATTTCCGAGAAAAAAAAAGGAAATAATGCTGCGTTCATTAGAACTTGTGAAAACTGATTTCACAACTTGTAACATGCAAGTACACAAGAAGAGTGCATTCATTTGACAAATGCTAAAAGGCTGCTGTCACTTTTGAAAAGTGTTCGGAAATAAAACATACAAAAAATCTTTTTTTCTAATCTGAAATAATATTACTTAAACAAATTGCAATAAATATGTTGGGTTGCAAATAAAACATACAAACAACACTCTTTTTTTTATCTGAAATAGTACTATTACTTAATAAACAAATTGCAATAAATACCTATGCTCATTGTGCATAGTTTGTGTTACACCCGCCATTTTCCACACTACTTGTGCAAATCGAGGAAGAAAATTCTTGTGTTTACAAGTTCACCAAATAGATAAACGCGTTTCACAAGTTGTAAACTGGGAAACACTAACTTCACAAGTTCTAACGAACGGAGCATTAGTGACCACTACCTCCCCATTACGGTACTTAAAACTTCAGATGATTTTGTTTTTGTAAAATTTGCCCTTATCAAAAGGTTTTATGAATTCCATACAGTTTTTGAATGTGTAAAATAATACAATTTCATAGTACAGTCCTGTTTTTTGAAATTGGTCATGAATATTTTTCCTTCTTGCCATACAGATATTTAAATCAAATATTAAACATAAACTTATTATTCAAAATATAATTAACTTAACAGTAATAAACATCTAACATTAATAGTAACATTAAAATTATTTAAACAGCTGTGAACATAAAATAATTTAAATAGAGTATTATCATGTATATTTTTCACTTTTAATTTTATTGTATAATGCATAGTTAACAACTGTTCAAAAGAAAATTAATGATTGAAAGACTATTAATATTTCCTAAAGAACCTTGAGCCTTCAGTACAATAAACAACAGACACTATTAACTTATAGGGCAAAAGAAAGGTAATTTTAAACCTTGTGCAGTAGCACTGACAAAGGCAATTATTTATTAGTGTAAATTAAATATAAAATATTTAGTATAAAATAATTAAGAACAGTACATTTCGTGCAGGTTTCCAATCTCATTTTTTGGACGTAAACCTAATGTTCAGGACGATCAAAGCAAAGATCTTAGGGTAATGTGCTGCATATGAGGATATTATTTCACAGACATAGCCTGGAGCCATACCATTTAATGATTTGTATAAAGAAGCAGAATATCTTGT